CCTTTGTCTTCAGCTACCAGGGTGGATAAGGAAGAACCATCAGGTGGGGGAGGGGCTAGCCATGTCTGAGCTAAGACTCTCCTTGGGCAAGTCTTGCTGCAGCTGCTGAGGGGGTTGGGGGTGAGATTCCTGTGTCACTGGAGTTGTGTACCTAGGAGGATTATGGATGCCTCTGCTGAGTCATGCAGGTTGTCCAGGAAATGGGGGAAAGCTGGCAGTCACAGGCCTCACCCAGCTCCCAAGCAAACCAAAGGGCCAGACTCACTCCCACCATGCCCCACCCCAACAGCCCCCAGACCATTTCCAGGCTTGAAAACCTGCCCCAGGCTATCTGCCTCACAGCTGCAAAAGAAAAAGGCTTAGTTCTTCCCCACCTGTGGAGTCTGCATACCAGATTTGCACCCTCACAAGAGGTGCAGGAGGCTTCTCACTCCTGTTCAAATTGTTGCAAAGTTCAGCTAGAGATTTGCTTCTCCCTGTGTAGTTTTAATCCCTACTCCTCTCCTGTTGCATCCCTGTGGTGCCAGACAGGAATGGCCTGCTAGGGGACCCAGCCAGCTCCCAGGGCCTTCAGCTGCTTCCTCTACCCCTGTATTTCACTCACCTCTTCAGATTGACTCAGCTCCAGGTAAAGTTGGAAACTTCTCCTGCAAACAGACCTTCAGCTTCTCCAGTGGGGGTGTGTGTTTGGGAGAGGAGGGTCTCCTTTTCCCGCTTCTGCAGTTGGGGCTCTCACAGTTTTAGGGAGGGTCTCCTGGGTCCTGCAGTTGCAGTCTGCTTCCTTCAGAGGGTCATGTTGCTCAGGCTGGTCACGAACCATGGCCTATTTTTTATGTACGTATAAAAGAAAAGGATTATGATAAATGAGAAAGACAGGTCTCCTGTCTCCTGATAATGTGATAATAGAGGATTCGGTGTAGGTGATTGATGAAGGAGTATTTTACAATCATGAAGATCTGTTCCATTTGTGTGTTCCATGAGAATGGCCCCAAGATATTTGATGTGGTCAAATGTAGGGAGGCCTGGTATTTCAGAAAAGATTGACCGCCATTGTCTTCAAGACTCAGTTAATCCTGGAAATCCTCTTATCTTTCCTTTAGTCACTGGTCTTGGAAAACTTTGGAGACATTGTAACATTTCTTTATATAATATTATTTCCTCAGCCAATAGATTATGGCTGAGAAAATAGCCTAGTTTTTGTTTTGTTTCATTTTGTTTGTTTTACAGAATTGGAGTTTTTCCTTAGAAGTTTTGTGTCCATTTTTGCCCAACTCAATGAATAGATTAAGAAATATCCAGATCTGGCCGGGCGCGGTGGCTCAAGCCTGTAATCCCAGCACTTTGGGAGGCCGAGACGGGCGGATCACAACGTCAGGAGATCGAGACCATCCTGGCTAACCCGGTGAAACCCCGTCTCTACTAAAAAATACAAAAAACTAGCCGGGCGAGGTGGCGGCGCCTGTAGTCCCAGCTACTGGGGAGGCTGAGGCAGGAGAATGGCGGGAACCCGGGAGGCGGAGCTTGCAGTGAGCTGAGATCCAGCCACAGCACTCCAGCCTGGGCGACAGAGCGAGACTCCGTCTCAAAAAAAAAAACAAAAAAAAAAAGAAATATCCAGATCTGTAGAGTATAATAGAGGTGACCTATGTCTCGGATCGGAGAAGATGCATGTCTGAGCTTTGTATCCCTTAGGTTGTATTTAAAACTTGGAAGAGGATTTTCATTGTGTTCGTTTTTCATTGCTGCATGACAAATGACCACAAATGTAGTGGCTTACTACAATACCTGCTTGTTATCTCACAGTCCTGCCAGCAGAAGTGTGGGTGGGCTCAACTCAGTTCCCTGCTTAGAGTCTCCCTAGGCTGAAATTAAGATGTCAGCCCAGCTGAAGTCTTATCTGAAGGCTCTGAGAAAAATCTTGCAATCAAGCTCACCCAGGTTGTTGACATAATCCAGCTCCTTGTGGTTGTTGAACTGAGGTCACTGCTTTGTTACTGGTTGTCGGTCACGGACCACTCTCAGCTCCTGGAGCTCCACTCCATCTTCAAGCCAGCAATCTTGTGTGGAATCCTTCTCATTCTTTGAATCTCTGACTTCCGCTTCTGCTGCTGGCTAGAGAAAACTTCCTGCTCTTAAAAGGCTCATATGGTTAGACCAGATCCACTCTGTTAGTCTTTCTTAAGGCCAGCTCTGCCAATTATGGAAGTAATATCTCATATTCACAGTCCTCAGGATTAGGGAAAGAAATATTTGGGGCCATCTTAGAATTCTGCCTATCATCAAGGAAATTCCTAGAAAATAACTGTCCAGATGAGCCATTGATTTTCCCAAGCAAATAATATTTATCAAATGAGACATTAAACAAAGCTGAACATAAATACATTAAAAATTTTGGCTTTAGGTGAGACTGAAGAGATCGTAGTAATCCGGTTAGGAGGTACAGGGAAGTGAGGTATACCTATTTTGTTTATTGCTTGCAGATCTCAAATCATGCATAGTGTAGGTATACTAATGTTCAGGTCAACTACACATAGATCATGTGTCAGGGAATTTTCCAGGACTTCTAAAATTAGTCCTTCTTCTGAACCTTTAATCTGGTAGTTCCATTTGCAGAATAGATCCCTGCCTATTACATTTATAGAGGTTTTGTTGAAAAGAGTGTTCCTCAGATAATGGTCTGAAAGTAACGGGTTACTGGTTGAGACGTGGGAACATTTGGTGACTTTTTTCTCTTCTTTTATAGATCTACTTGTCAAATGTGTTACTTACTTTGGACATGGCAAAACTTCCCCGTCGTAAGCCAGAGTCATTTTAGCGAAAATGTTGCTAGTTATTAAGTACAAGAGTTAGAATCATGATGAAAGTATACAGATGAAGTGAAACTTTTGTCAGGGGGAGATTATGGCTTTGGCAAAGACAATCCCATGACAAACAGCAAAGAGGCCGCTATGTTTCAGTACAAGTGTGAATGGTGTGTTCCACATGAATGAAGCAGTAACTGAAAAGGGAACATACGATTAATTACATGATTGTAGTTGACTCCAGATTGCATACTAAACAAAATGATTTTCTTTCACAAATTGACAAGACACTAGGTGCCCTCATGAAGGTTTTGATGAGGGACTCAAGATAAAGTGTGGCCAAACATCTTTGCACAGTTTGGCTACTGTCCAATGGACCGACATCCATTAGTTTTGGGGGCTGGCTTGAATTGAGGACTTAGCAGACCTTGGCCACCATCTGTTTGCTTTGGATCACTATCTTCTAACATTCAGAAAGCACAGGAAAATCAGGAACAAACACACATGAAATAAGACTTTTTTTGGTAGAGTTTTGCTATGTTGCCCAGGATGGTCTGGAATTCCTGAGCCCAAGCAATCTGCCTGTAATATGACCTATTACAGGTGTCAGCCACCATGCCTAGCAGAGATAAGACTTTTTTTTTTTTTTTTTTTTTTTTTTTTTTAGACGGATCTCACGTGTGCCAGGTGGGTGCAGTGGCGCGATCTCGCTCACTGCAAGCTCCCCCCGGTTCCCGCCATTCCCTGCTCAGCCCTGAGTAGCTGGACTACAGCCCGCCACCGCCCGTATTTTTGTATTTTATAGACGGGGTTCACTGGTTCGATCCCGACCTGTGATCGCCGCCTCGGCCTCCAAGTGCTGGATACAGCTGAGCCCGCCCGCTAGACTTTTAAAAATAGACAGAAGAGGTCGGGTGCGGTGGCTCACATTTATAATCCCAGCACTTTGGGAGGCCGAGGTGAGTGGATCACCTGAGGTCAGGAGTTCGAGACCAGCCTGGCCAACATGGTGAAACCTCCTCTCTACTAAAAATACAAAAATTAACCAGGTGTGGTAGTGGGCACCTGTAATCCTAGCTACTTTGGGAGGCTGAGACAGGAGAATCACTTGAACCCGTGAGGTGGAGGTTGCAGTGAGCCGAGATTGTACCATTGCACTCCAGCCTGGGCAACAAGAACAAAATTCTGTCTCAAAAAAAAAAAAAAAAAAAAAGACAAAAGAAAGGTAACAGTAGATGAAGTAGTGAATAAATAAGCACATTAACTGAGAAAATGTTTGCTAAGTGGTGTACTTCCAACCCAAAATATCTAATTCTATCTAATTGTATGCCCTGCCCATCTTTAAATAAGATAAATTCAGAACTAAGAGTTCAATGAAACAAGTCAGATGGTTCAAGATGTTTCTGAGAAAGATTCACTTGGCAGTAGGTCAGAAAAATGGCCTGAGATGGACACAGTGGCCTGAGATTCATGCTTGTGGATCCAAGGGCCCCACAGGGCACTCCCCAGCAAGAATCTTCAAGATTATCTCGGCAGGAACTCCAATTTTTGAAGGGCTAGGCTAGTACTCATTAACTGAAACTTAAAGCTGATTTATTCCTTGCCAAGCAAGGCATCTGGTGGGAGGAGGCCCTGTGCTTATAAGACACAGTCTTTATAGAAATGGAAACTGCATTTTTATATAGAGTTTTAGGAAGCATATTGTTTAGGGACCCCAGACCTTCAGAAACAGGAGTGTTTATGAGTAATTTAGCATTTGGCCATCAATGCAGGCTTTGTGGAGGGGGCTGTTGCTGATGGCTGGGCTTCAGATATGTAGAACTGCCACTGATGGGCTTGCTTTCAGAAATATGGTTAGTGATATAAGTAGTCAATGGCCAATTGGGATGAGTTTAAATAGTTGCTTTTTACTATTGTCAAAGAACAGTAGTACTTTCTGGAATGATGAGAGTTTTCTTGCTTTATTCTCAGTACTACAAGTACGAAAATAAAAGTAGAAAAAAGGAGGATGAAGTGCATAACATGGGGAGAGCATGGCTCTGTTAAGTGTCAAATGTGATTATTGGAGAAAGTATATTTTTTTCCAGAGAACAGTTCATCTTAGCTCAGAATATCAGTTTGTAGTATGACAGCACTAGAAACTCTTCTCTGGTCACTGTGTCAGGATCCTTGGACAGTAATTTTCTTGTTTCTCATTAGTGTCTGGTGAACTAGAAGATCACCCAATGAATGAAGAAGGAGAATCAGAAGAGCTCGCTTCTAGCCTGCTACATGATGATGTATCAGGTAATTATGACTTAAAAATAGTGAAAACGGAAACAGAGTTCTGATAAAGAGAAAAAGGAGGAGAAAAAAATAGACTTAAAGGAAGAATCAAATATAAGGAGGAGCAGTGAAAGGAGAAGATTTCAGAGGAAAAAGTAAAGAAGGGGAGCAACAAGGGTGCAGAAAAGAGAGTCACTGTGTCAAACTGAAAGTCTTCATGAATCACAATTTTGGCCCAGGAGCAGAGCAATCAGCATATGAAAATGAGAAGTGTTCCTGTGTCATGTGTTTCTCAGAAGAGGTGCCAGGAGGCCCAGAAGTAAAGATGGAAAGTGATCAAGCATGTGGCACAATGGGTAAGGCTGTCTGAGGGCTGTGGGATGGGGGTGGCTCAGTGGGCCCCACAGACCCCCAGTAGGGTGGAGGTAGGTGCTCCAGTCTGTCTAGAATCCTATTCTTTGCATTTGGTTCACTTGAACCTTTGGGGAACTGCAGAGAGGCAAGAGATCGCTATAAAGTAATATTTAAGAGGATGGACTCTGCTGATTAGACATAGATGATGTCATAAAAGTATACTCTTTGAAATGCAGTTATCTTGTTGATTGCATTAGTATATTAAGTTACACCCAATATTCCATGAAGCCCAGGATACCCCAGTGAACTTCTGCTGGTAGATAATAGTGTCACTTTGCTACAACTTAGAAAGGCCACACTCAAAAGACAACTAATCCTGGTACTTAATTGTCAGGAGGAAAGACAGCAGGTCTACTCTTCTTAGCCCAACACGTATTTTTGATAGAAGACCCAGGGCCCATCCTAGACTCCTAGTTCTCAGTTCAGTGTGTTTTTGATTCCTCTGGAAGAAAGAGAAGAATAAGTATCTAAACATCTTTATAAACTCAAGCCTTCTGTAGTATAAATTGTCCTAAAATCTGTAACTTTTATTTATTAATTTCTATTTCCTCACTACAACTTGTTATTTTCTAGATACTGTGGATATTGGAAACAACTCTACTTTGGGAAAACCCAAGAGGAAAAAAAGTAAGACTAAATAAGAATTTACTTGCTTTTAGTGTTACAAATATGTTTTTAATGCCAGAGTTTTATGCCTATATTGCCCTGAGTAGTTCTTGGTAGAAACATGGATGCTAAAGACTATGCTAGTGAGGGCTGAGAAGGAAGTAAATAACATGAGAGAGAAAGTCTATATTGCATTAGAGAAGACCTGGATCATCATGAGCAGACTGTTAGTAAAAATATGGAGGTTAACTGTGTTATTGGTGAGGGCTCAGAAGGACATAAGAAAGATGTGGAAAAGGCCTCCTTATTATATAGTGGCCTGTCCTGTACTCATGTGAAAAGCAGAACTTTCTGGATCTATAGCTAAGGAGATTTCCAAATACAGTAATCATGGTATGTTGTGGTATCTTTTGCTAATTATAGTAAAATGCAAGAGGGAAGAGCTATATTGAAGGAAGAGCTGCTAAATGAAAAAAGAATGAAGTCTTGATGATTTAGAAAATTCTCAGCCTATCTAGGTCAAAAAACACGATAAAATAAGGAGATTCATTGTCAGGGATGTGTGCTTGGTAGAGACAAGCAAGACTTTTTGCAAGTTCCCTGGGAAGTAGTGAAAGGTCAGATTATTCATTCACATAAAAAGTTATTTGAAGAGATGAGGCATGTGACTCTTGAGTCCCTCAGCCATCTCAGCAGAAATCAAAAATAGATGTGTGTTGCTACAAAAAGAATAAAATACCTAAGAATACAGCTAATTAGGGAGGTGAAAGATCTCTACAAGGAGAACTAAAACCCTGTTCAAAGAAATGAGAGATGACACAAACAAATGGAAAAACATTCCATGTTCATGGACAGGAAGAATCAATATCATTTTAAAATGGCCATACTGCCCAAAGCAATTTATAAATTCAATGCTATTACCATTAAGCTAACATTGACTTTCCTCACATAACTAGAAAATATGATTTTAGAATCCACATGGAGCCAAAAAAGAGCCTGAATAGTGAAGGCAATCCTAAGCAAAAAGAACAAAGCTGGAGACATCATGCTACCCAACTTCAAGCCATACTACAAGGCTACATTAACTGATATGGTTTGGCTGTGTCCCCACCCAAATCTCATCTTGAATTGTATCTCCCACAATTCCCAAGTGTTGTGGGAGGGACCCAGTGGAAGGTAGTTGAATTAAGGGGGCCGGTTTTTCCTGTGCTATTCTCATAATAGTGAATATGTCTTCATGAGATCTGGTAGTTTTATAAGGGGGAGTTTCCCTGCATAAGCTCTGTCTCTTTGCCTGCCGTCATCCATGTAAGACGTGACTTGCTCCTTCTTGTCTTCCACCATGATTATGAGGCTTCTCCAGCCACATGGAACTGTAAGTCCATTAAACTCTTTTTCCTGTATAAATTACCCAGTCTTGGGTATGTCTTTATCAACAGTGTGAAAACGGACTAATACAGTAACCAAATCAACATGGTACTGGTACAAGAACAGACACATAGCCCAGTGGAACAGAAGAGAGAACCCATAAATAAGTCCAAACACCTACAACTATCTGATCTTCAACAAACCTGACAAAAACAAGCGATGGCAAAAGGTTTCCGTATTCAGTAAATGGTACTGGGATAATCAGCTAGCTGTATACAGAAAATTGAAACTGGTCCTCTTCCTTACACCATATATAAAAATTATCTCAAGACAGATTAGAGAATTAAATGTAAAACCAAAAACTATAAAAACCCTGGAAGATGACCTAGGCAATACCATTCAGGACATAGGCATGGGCAAAGAGTTCATGACAAAGACTTCAAAAGCAATTGCAATAAAAGCAAAAATTGAAAAATGGGATCTATGGTAGGCCACCAGATTAACACTTTTGAGTGGCATTTTATGTTTAGTCCTTGTCTTGGCCTTATGTGCTCTTAACACAAAATGAAAGATTTTATAGCACTCTCAAAAAAAAAAAAAAAAAGGAAAAATGGGATCTAATTAAACTAAAGAGTTTCTACACAGCAAAAGAAGCTATCATCAGAGTGAATAGACAACTTACAGACTGGGAGAAAATTTTTGCAAACTATGCATCTGATGAAGATCTAACATCCAACATCTATAAGGTACTTAAACAATTTTACAAGAAAAACAACCCCATTAAAAAGTGGGCAAAGGACATCAACAGATATTTCTCAAGAGAAGACATACATGCAACCAGCAATCATATGAAAAAAAGCTCAGCATCACTGATCGTTAGAGAAATGCAAATCAAAACTACAAGGAGATACCATCTCACACCAGTCAGAATGATTATTATTAAAAGGTCTAAAAACAACAGATACTGACAAGATTGTGGAGAAAAAGGAATGCTTATACCCACTGTTGCTGGGGGTGTAAACTAGTTCAACTACTGTGGAAGACAGTGTGGCAATTCCTCAAAGACCTAAAGACAGAAATACTATTTGACCCAGCAATCCAATTACTGAGTATATATCCAAAGGAATATAAATCATTCTATTATAAAGACACATGCACATGTATGCTTATTGCAGCACTATTCACAATAGCAAAGACATGTAATCAACCTAAATGTCCAGCAATGATAGACTAGATAAAGAAAATGTGGTTCATATTCACCATGGAATACTGTGCAGCCATAAAAAAAAAGAATAAGATCATGTGCTTTGCAGGGACATGGATAGAGCTGGAGACCATTATCCTTAGCAAACTAATACAGGAACAGAAATCGAACACCACATGTTCTCACTTATAAGTGGTAATGAAATGATGAGAATACATGGACACATAGAGGGGAACAACACACACTGAGGCCTATCAGAAGGTGAAGGGTTGGAAGAGGGAGAGGATCAGGAAAAATAACTAATGGGTATTAGGCTTAATACCTGGGTGATGAAATAATCTGTATAACAAACGCCCATGACACATGTTTACCTATGTAACAAACCTGCACATATATCCTTGAACTTAAAGTATAAAAAAAAATAGATGTGTGAATTTCTAGGAAAGATCTGTGGGGAAGCTTCATGTCTGATGGAGGAAATCCCCATGATAAATGCAGGAGATCCGTAAGATTCTTGAGGATTTTGTACCAAGAGAAACAAAGATGTCCATGTCTTATCTCCTAGAACCTATAATCTGTTACTTTACATGGCAAAAGGGACTTTGAAGATGTGATTAAGTTAAGGAGCTTGAGGTAAGATCACATGGGCCCCTAAAGTCAGAGAACATATCCTCCTGTCAAGAGAGGGACGTGTGACTATGGAAGAATGGTCAGAGAGAATAGAGTTGGATGTGGAGATGGATGCAGGGGTCCATCAACTAAGGAATGTGGGCAACCTTCTGAAGTTGGAAAAGGCTCCTCTGTGGCCTCCAGAAAGGAGCAAAGCCCTGCAGACACCTTGATTGATTTTAGCCCTGTGAGGTGCATGTCAGATTTCCAACCCACAGAATTATAAGACCATGAATTTGTGATTTTTTTGGTCGCTAAGTTTATGGTAATTTCTTACAGCAACAATACCTTTTGTAAGACCAAAAAACAAACAAACAAACAAAAATTCACCCTATATGGTTATATTTGATCTTCTAAACAAGTTATATTTTTTCAAATTACTTACACTTTTATGCTGTTTTTTTTTCCTGATTTTAAAATACGTATTCCCTATAAGCTTTGCTGTACATATTTCCATTTTTTTCTATGTTTTATTAGCACATTTAGAATTGTGTAATATATCTAAATGAATACATTTAAACCATTACATTTCTCTTTAAATCAATATAACATGCAGTAGATATTATAAACATTTAATATCTTGCCAACTTAACTGTAAAAAAAGTTTTATTTCATTCCTATTTTAACTTGCATTGCTTTCATTTTTGGTGCAGCTGAGCATTCTTCATTTGCTGTTGGCCATTTTTACTTTTTCTTCTATGAGTGCTTGGAACTTATATTTTGCCAGTGTGTTGTCTTTTTTTCTCCATGCTTTAGGACAACAAGAATACTTATATGTGACATATACTGAATGTCACCTATGTGTGTTGTCATATTTGATGTTATTCTTTTAGGTTTCTTTGTGGTACAGGCACATCTCATTTGATTGCACTTCGCTTTATTGTACTTTGAGAATATTGTGAGTTTTACAAATTGAATGTTTGTGACAACCCTGTGTCAAAAAAAAGTCTATTGGTGCCCTTTTTCCAACAACATGTGCTCACTTTGTGTCTCTGTTACACTTTGGTAATTCTCGCAAGATTTCAAACTTTATTATTATTATTATTCCTGTTATGGTAGTATGAAAAGTGACAACAATGATCTTTGATGTTACTATTCTAACTGTCTATGGCACCACACACTGTGTTCGTATAAGATGGCAAACCTAATAAATGTTGTGTGTGTTTCAGCTGCTTCACTGACCAGCTGTTCCCCAGTCTCTCTCCCTCTCTTGGACTTTCCTCTTTCCTGAGACAAAAAAAAAAATATGGAAATTAAGTCAATTAATAATCCTACAATGGCCTCTAAAGGCTCAAGTTAAAGGAAGAGTCACATGTGTCTCACTTTAAATAAAAAGCTAGAAATGATGAGGCTTAGTTAGGAAGCCATGTCAAAAGCCAAGATAGGCTGAAAACTAGGCCTGTTGCAGCAAACAATTAGCCAAGTTATGAAGTGCTACTCCAGTGAACACATAAATGATAAGAAAGTGGAACAGACTTATTGCTGATATGGAGAAAGTATGAGTGATCTGGATAGAAGATCCAACCAGCTACAACATTCCCTTAAGCGAAACCTTAATCCAGAGTGAGGCCTAAACTCTCTTCTATTCTATAAAGGCTGAAAGATGTGGGAAGCTGCATAAGGAAAGTTTGTGACTAGCTGATGTTGGTTCCTGAGGTTGAAGGAAAGAAGCTGTCTCATAACATTAAAGGGCAAGGCGAAGCAACAGATGCTGATGTAGAAGCTGCAGAAGGTTGTCCAGAAGATCTAGCCAAGATCATAGATGAAGGTGGCTACACTA